CCCCTCCTCCTCTTTAAGCGCAGACAGTTATGCTTTGCATCAATTGTGTAAAACTTGTGTTTCTCTTATATCTATTTTTGTTAGCAAGGATTTACTCATTTTTAGTTTTAAAATATTAGTTAAATTTTCCTTTTACCATGATAGTTGTCTTTCAATTCGCTTCATTCCTCGTTGCATACCTTGTTGAAATAAGGCTGAAGAATATTTATATTGATAGCATGTAGAATCTCTGCGTGATTTGAAGTTTGATACTCTGACTATTCACAAGTCATTTAAGAAGATCTCAAAGCTTTGTGATGCCTTCTTATTTTGCTTGAAGGAGTTGGGTCTATGGTTGACGATGAAGGTAACATTGACATTTATGTCCTCTTAACTTTTTTCATATTTATGTGAATTCTATTTATATTTAAATCTCATACTGATTTTTTGCCTAGGCTGCTGAATCTTTATCAAATGAAGTCCATGCCGAATTTTTTTGGGGTCAGAGCAACGATAAGATTGGCCAACAAATTTTAAGAAAGTTCAGTCATGATTCTTTTAATTTTTTGTCAAAAAATGTTCCTGCAGGTATATTTTTTGCTATTTCTTTTTTTTTTTAATGTCAGCTACCTTTTTCTCTTTCGTAATTTCGAAGATTTTGAGCAATTATGTGATTTGGTGTGGTTAGAGAGTGTTATATATTAAATTTTATTGCTTAAATTTACTTTTATTCTATTTTCATACATTGGTGTGTGTTTCCATTATAATTTTTAATTATTCGCTTGTCAGAATGGTACGTTGGTGATGATTTAAAAGCAGATATAGAGGCGGGATATTTAACAAGCAAAGTTTCTTGTCTTGTTCGATCTCTTTCCGAGTATAGGTACTTGTTTTTTCAAATATTTTAGTTTTGTTCTATTGCTTCTGCGTAGTTTTTGCAATAGAGAGAACTTGCGTTTTTTTTTTTAGCTAAGCAGTCATAAAACACGGCTTCAGGTTGGTATATATAAAGGGAGTAGGAGATGATGTTGGGTTAGAAAAGCGGGAAAACATAATTCTGTATCTTCTTATCGAAGTTCATTTCGTGAGAGTTTCGTTAAAACTCGTGTTGCAGCATGAGTTCGTATTTTTGACAGTTTAGATTGCTACAAAATCCTCCTTTTTATGCGATTGTGAAGGCAGTCAATGAATAATCTTTCTGCCGGGAGAGGTTTATTGCTTCAGTACTTTGAATTTGATTGCAGATTTAAAATGTGTTTGATCAATTTAAATGCTTTTAAAAACACACGCTCGTGAACTTGGCCTCTTGGTGTGCTAAAACTTGTTTAATTCTTAACGTATTGCTATTTGGAGTAGTAAAATTTTGCTTAAAGGCATTGAGGCAAGTAAGAATTTAAAATTTTGTTAGATGGTAAAGAGCATGCAAGCTACTTTAACTTGTTAGTTGATAGTTTAGGCTTCAACTCATAGGTCTTGGTTTTAAGGTCCTGTAAATGTTGTGGGTGTGCATTATTGATTAAATTTTCTCAAATAAAAAAATGTTCGGAGTGTCTCCTTTAATCCTATTGACAAACAATTAGTGTTAGCAAGTTTTTTGGAAGAAACTATGTATCAATCAATGCTTATTTGAATGAATGTACGATGCAATTAACCTGTTTGACATTTTATATTGTAGCCTATGATGCACAGACACTCTGTAATATGAGGAAGCAATTGACCTCCGTATCAAGCTTTTGGCCAATTTGATCTTAGATGACAAGGAAAATGTTTAAAACATGATGCAAGTCATTTACAAATTGTCTTGATAGAAATCAAGATTTATTCCAAAGTCACCCATTTGCAAACAATATTGATTAAAAAAATGTTTGATAAATATATTTTAAAAAATTATTACATTATAATATGATATAATATAATATTTCTATACATTATATGAGAAAATATCCTAAACCCTAAATATTCGTGATGGGAGACTTTCAATTGTAACACTCGCTACTCATTCTATGTAGATCACACAAGAGATAGCAGTCTCAGTCAAAGTTACAACTAGAATCTGTCTTAATTGTGAGATCACAAGAGCAGCTATAGCACTCACCCGGAAGCAAGATTGTGCCATCCAATCATGCCTGAAAAAAAAATTGGACCTAGTGAAGTTGAAGTGTTCCGAAATGATATTTTTTTTGTTAATATAGTTTTTTTTTTTGTAGGTATTCATGAATTTTTTTACTAGGCATTTGATTTAGTAAATATTGTCCTTGAATTAGAAAGTTGGCTCAATTTTTTTTATTCATTTTATAAATTTAAACATATGCTTGAAAAAAAGTTATCTGGATAAATGAAAACCAAAGTAGTTGGTTGGTTTTGTTAATTCATAAGTTTTTTTCGCTTATGTTTATAAGGTCCCTGCAGTTGTTTAATCATGTGTTTATTTATAGTTTTATACTAGTAAAGAATATTAAATTGTGCATTCTACTTTGTGACGTGGGATGTTATGTGCGATGCAAGATGCGAGCCACAGAAGCTTGCCAGAAGACCGGACCGATGACAGTTTTTCTTAATTATATTTTTGAAAGAGTTTCCTTTTACCTTTGATTCCTTTCTAACCATTTCCTTAAATATGTATTGTATTAGGGTTTGGATTCTCAGTTTTGTGTCGGGATAGTTGCGGGCATCTATTCTTCTTTTTGAGGGCTGTATCCAGGGATTCCAGATGGTGCTTCGGTTGTATGTTGGTTTCCATGTGGTGATCTTCTCTATCCCCTTTCGCATCCTCTACACTTCACTCCCGGCTACCATCCATTGTTGCAACCTCCCCCAAACAACCATACATTAGTGTTTTAGCTGTAGTTTCCCCATTTCAGCCACCTGCTCGCTGATGCCGCCTTGGATAACCTTCCTCTTGGTGTTCTGCAGTCCCCCACATTCCCCGTCGCTTCAGCCGACATTCCCCCTTGCCGCAGCATCCCATACACAGTCTTTTCTTGTTGTTTATGCTGTTCGAGCTTCCGAACCATACATTCCCATCCTTCCAGCTTGTTGCCCTTACTGCAACTCCTCCCCTTCGCTACCGCCATCCTCATCCTTTTTTTGCTACCGTTGCACCTTCCAGCCTTTACCCTCTTCTTGCTACCTGTCCGGAGGACCAAACCCTTGTCGTTTAGGACAGCCACCCCACCCCACCCCAAGATCCATCCTAGTTTGAGTAATTATGTCGTGCTTCTTATTTGAAACTTTTTGGGTATTGTGTGTTGTATTTTCCTTTTCTAGTCTATCGATTGCAACCACTTATTTGCTTTCAATAATATCTGCTTTTTATATTGTTGTTATGGTTAACTCTCGTATTATTTGATATTAGAGCTTAGCATAAGTCGAGTACTATTCTAGGGTTTCTAGAGTTTGGTATACCCAAATCTATCTCAACCAGCTCTAATTTTTCTTTTCAAATCCTACATCACCATTACACACCTCCTTCCACCTACTCCCATCCAAATCTTAATGATCATGCCTTTGAGGAGATAAGTGTCAGATACCGATCAAAAGTTTACCATGAAAGAGATATATCGTCCACTTTGCTGAGTGCTACAATGGCTCGATGAATTTGAAGAAAGAAGACTATTCAGAGAGGCCACATAAATTCCATTTGATACCTCGAGATGAAAAACAAATATTCCGAAGATTCGACATGAAATATTGGAAAACTAGAATTTTGAAGTGTAGTTGGATTTGCCATATTTTTACGCTTGCTTAGATTCGGATGAGGTCATCGAGCGACTTTGGACCTTGGAATGTATTTTTGGGTGTCGGTACGTCCAACTGAACGGAATGGTGAAACTAGCCCCCAATAAGTTAAGGAAGAGTGAATCTTAGTGGTGGGCGAATTTCAAGGTTATTCAATAATGAGAAGGGAAGAATAAAATTACTATATGATACAAGATGAAACGGGAGCCAGTTTCTAGCATCTTACTATTGAACAGATCTTCCGACCACAACTTCAAAAGTGGAGAGACCACATCACCGGGAGACCGCCATATCTTACAGAGGTACAAACCTAGGATGGAGCAGCGGATACAAGATGAAACGGGAGCCAGTTTCTAGCATCTCACTATTGAACAGATCTTCAGACCACAACTTTAAAAGTGGAGAGACCACATCACCGGGAGACCACCATATCTTACAGAGGTACAAACCTAGGATGAAGCAGCAAGCGTACACCCAACGAAACACCCAAGCCGATCTCGTCTGAGAAGACATTGGTTTAGAGTGAACAAGTGAAACCGATTCACATTCTCAATTCTGTTTTAGTCAGGAAGTGTTTCAAGTGCCATGGATTTGACCATGTTGAATCAAATTGTTCAACCAAGAGAATGATGTCATTCACTGATCAGGGAGCTATTGAAGAAATGAACAATGAGACTGTAGACACTGAATAAGGTGAGGACACAAAAGATGTATTCTAGAGTCTAATTATTAAGGGAGAAATGCGCGTTGTTCAAGCTGAGCCCATGAGAGAGACTTGAACCGATTCAACAACTATTGTCCCAGAAGGTCTTGAGTTTAATAAACCCACATCAGTGGCATGACAATCCCAGATAAGGGAAATTCAAACTTTTCATATATTTATAGCCTCCTTTCTGAGTTGCCTCTGTTGAGCGAGGTCCAACATATCAGGGATAAGAAGCTTTTAAGCTAACTTTTGGAAGACCATATGGAGTTATTATGGGTAATACACTCAATTCATTAGTGTACCCACTAACAGATGAGAAGACATGAGGGATTATCTTCATTGTTGGAAATTTCCATGGGAGCTTAACGGGAAAGAAAAATCCTACAGTAGAATTTAAGTCTTACCATACAAAGAGAGACCTCCCTTGAGTGGTTGTTTTTGGGAACTGCTCAGCCTGCCATATATTTCATCCTAGGTTTGATTCCCCCTTAAACATTTGTTTTCCGGATACGCTCGGACAAGTACGGAGAGTAGAAGATGCCAATTAAAGATTTGATGGCTCGGGGCATGGTTCGTGAGGATACCCATCCACTTGCAGTTCCAGGTCAGATTGCGTTATAGGAGGATGAGTACTTATTTCATCAGGATGTGCTTTGGAATCAAAACGCCGACATGATTGGCTTTCGATGTGCTTGTAACATTGCCATTACCTTCAATCGGTCTACCTGACTCTGTTCTAGGATGATGTAAAGCTTTGATAGAGGATGTCAAAGCTCCCTCAACATCGGGAGATTGATGCGGGATAATACGCGCTATGCAGGACAC